GCAAGCTCATGAACATCCCTCACAATCTCTCATATTAGTACTTGCCTATGGAGGATTGATACTTCTCCAGGGTTTTGATTTACTTTTTGTTAAGAGGCTGTGCTTTAATCCTGGGCCAGTGCTGACATCCTCCAAATCCTAAAGATTCCAGAAGAGCAGACCGTGTCAGATGGCAGAGTCATTAACTGGTGTCACTTGAACTGCCATTTAACAGCACTGCGTCGGCTTGAGCCTGGGACGTAATGAAGCTTTGCTCTTTGGACTCTCCAGATTGACTTCATGTTGAACTAACACCTCAAACCCAGTTCCATGTCAAATGTGAAGGACAAGTGAGGAGCCTTCCAGCAGATACAGTGGGGCCCTCTGAGTGATGTTTGGGTGCATGTCTCAAACAAATTACTCACCATCTGCTCTAAGACATCAGACAGAGGTCACATTTACCAGGGAAAATCTTCTTCTGAATGCACTTGCTAGCCTGATGCTTTTCTTTCCACATAGTGAAAGAAAGGAGGAAACAATCAAAATTCTTCAAGAAGTAAATAACATTATGACAGGTTATAATATTGTAATACTTAACTGGTATGTTACGGCTTTCTGAATCATTGAGCCTTGAGGTATTTATGTGCACTAACAGAAAAGTACCTCACAGAAAGAAAAATGCTGAAGAACATTACCGTATTACTGAATGCACCAGGGACAATATTATTTCCTGAAAAAGACCAGTGTATGTGAAAAAGTAACATCAAGAAAATGTATCTGTGATGATGCTGGAGCAGTAATAGCTATGGCAACTATATTTTTTCACTACCAGCTGAGTAACGTTCTGCATTTATATTGTGAACAAAGCTGCTTACAAGATTGGATGTATCTTCATTTCATTAATGGAAAAATTGAACACAGGATAACTTTTTTTTTTTGAAAGCTATGACAAGCTTGTGAAAAAGGGTGGGAACAGAAGTAAAATCTGCTTTCCTGTCTGCCCATTTTACGTATAAAAATTTCAATATTTGTGCTTGGAGGCATTAAAAGGAATACCACCTTAGCAGTTCTTCAGTGGTTAAGGGAAAGGGGGAAGAAAAGTAAAGCTCTTTCTAATGCAGAGCCCTAAGAAGAAGACGAAGATTACAGAATGACCTTCCTCCGTTTTCACAATCAAAAACCTATTTCTCATTTCTACACACAGCGCCAAGTAGTAATATTTCGGAACCATCATTCATTCCCATGGTAACATCCCCTGATATTACAAGCAGTTAATTATGTCATTGCTGTGTGGTACACTGTGTGGTTTATTTACGGAAGGAGATAAACATTTAATGAAAGCATCTTTAAATATATGAACAAAATAAAAACTGCCGTTCTATCCCTCTGGTCTTTCCTCATGCTCTATGCAAAGAAAATGCGGTATTAGCAGATATCTGCTGAAACCTACAGAAATACAATGCTCTTGGTGAAGAAATGTGATATCATTATATGGTAAAGAGAAGAATTCTGCCTGAGCTTTTAATTAAACAAAATTATTTTCTAAAAAGACATCATAAAAATACACCTGCTATATTTGGATTTGATCCAAATAGATTATAAATTACTAGGGATTCAAAACAGAATAGATTACTTCATGGTTATTTTGATCATTTCTGAGCTACAACACATGACATCTTTGTCACGACGTAACTGCCCCTGCCTGTCATCAGGATCCCCCTTGTAAGGGAAAGAACCTGAGAAAAGACAGCCAAAAAATTCTGAATCGTTTCACTGGAAACCGCAAAAAGAACATTCTATAATTGTTTGACATTCTGATTTATAGTGCTAATTAAATAATTCTGTGGTGAATGGTCACTGGGTATGCATTTTTATAAGCTTGAATTAATATTGTTTTGATAAGAAGTGACCTGCAAATATAATGCAGTCAATACAGGAAAAAGAATATTGCTTGAGTAACAGAGTCTGAAAAAAACTGTTTAAAACGTCAATCTAAAAAAATGTGTTTTTTTTAAAAATAAGAACCTTAAACTTTATCAAATTTAAAAAGCACACCTTAGACTAAAAAATGGACTTATTGATAATTCTTAAAAATGTTGTCTAACTCTTTGTTAAAGGAATTAGTTCTGGAAGGCTCCTCAAATTTTATATATCTATATGTTTTTACCAATAATTTAGATAACTACTAAATGTATGATGTCTAAGTCTGCAGTTAGAGTGGTTGAAGAAAACAGAGCACACTGCAGAGTTACTTGAATTATTCAGCTAAAAAGCCGAATGACAAGAAGTGAATTTTAATATAATCAAATGGAAGGAACACATACGGAAATAAACATTTCCTGATTATTCCTACAGGATAAAATCCTCTGTTTAGAAAGCTGTGATTCACCAAATTTTAAAGGTCGTAATGGATTATCACCTCAACCTATCACTGTATCAAAGAGCACTAATGTGATGCTGCATTAAAAATGTTTAAGAGGAATGCCACATAAGAGGAGAGGGATGACCTTCCTTTTGCTAAGTAACCACTTTGCTGAGCCCACTGCTGGTACAGCATATCCTGATCTGATTAACCCACTTCAAAGGGCGTATGAAAACCCTGAAGAATTGGAAGAAAGATCACAAAAATGATTGGGTCTAAAAAGCAACCCACATAAAATGAATCTTAAAGTCTCCTACCTAGCAAAGACAGTGTTGAGAGATTACTTAATCACTGCACATAGGTTAAGTTGAATGAGGATTTTCAACCTTGCTATCAAGAATGCTACAAGAGCCAAAAGCTAGGTGATGAAGTTAGAAAAATTCAACCTCACAGGAAGAAGTAATATCCTTGAAATTAAATGTCCCGACAGATTACAAAAGGAGTGATATAACTTATCATTATTTGCTCTGTGGTCTCTGAAATGAAGCAATTTTCATGGCTAAGAGATACCTGTGGGAGAATCAGACCAGATGCAGTAGCAGCCCTTGCTAACTTTTCCCTTAACCCAGAAATGACCAGATATGCTGTGAGTTTTGTTTTGCTGCCATTCCCTGAAGCCCCAAGCAGTGGATGGACGCTAGAGATAATCCTCAGGGGGTGTTCTGTGATGCTATAGAGAATCCATTTTCTTGGACAGCCTGCTGGCATGTGCTGCTCAGATTACTGGGATGAATGTGATGGACAGATTTCAGGTCAGAAGGAATTTTGCACAGGTCAGACCAGCAAGAATCCTGGTGGTTTTTTTCCTGCCTTCCCATGGATCGTCTGCTGGCTGATTTGGGGATACCTAGCCTTATCAGTTTGCTACAAGTGCAGAAGCTGTGAAGGTTAGTGTTATCTCAGTCTCTCTTGTGCTTTGTTTATCGTGTGTAACTGTTAATCTCTACAGGATTTAAATGCATTAGTGTAACCCAAATTTACAAAGTCAATAGCCCATGATGCTGACAAGACGTGGGGGAATATTGTGAAGACGTATAGGGAGAGGGACTTAGAAGAAACTGGGCTGGAAGGCTCTGAGAGCGCTGGAGGGGTGCCATGATGCACCCTGTGCACCCCCGCAGCCACAGCTGTATAGGGGTGGCTTTCCTTGCCCTGCAAGGGTAACAAATGGCTCCACGATGTTCTTGGGAGACTACTGGCTCCAAATGCTTTTGTTTCTAATATATTTGGGAGTAAAGAGTTTAACACCCGGGTATTATCACAAATCTTTTGCTTTCATTTCATGGACCCAGTGCCGAAAACCAGACTACTTCAGGTACCTTTGGTTTTATTCTGATCTCTAGTCTAGAGCAGTTGCTGGGGAAATGCTTGTACTTCAACTGATATCCCTGCTAAACACTCCTAGCCTTCTTCCCTAAGGGAAAGAAACTTCAGCTTTTCTTCTTGACATAGTAATCTTTCCCCCATCATTTCGCTAGCTAATAATTTATCCTTGCACTTGCTTCTAGTCACATCATTGCTCATGCACCCTCACAGAAGCCATACAAAACATCAGACTAAAGCTGTTGGTGTTAGAGGTTTACACTTGGCTTTTGAAGGCTGTGATTTCAAACTTTCAAATAACACAGTATTTATAGATTTTCCTAGGCTCATAACAGTGGCTACCAAAACACTCACATAAAAGAAAATGAAAATACAAGTATAATATGGCTTTCACATCTGTTCTTTTTGACCTGGCAAACTTAGGTATCATATACTTAGTTCTACCCATTGAAATATTCAATTTTAATCTATTTTGCTTAGATGTTGCAGGCTATAAATAAACCTTAAAATTATTGCAATTGTGCCCTGATTTCTTAACAACAGTGCTTTTTCACATAACTAAATATACTAACTTTTGGAGTTCAGTTCAACACAGTTTAAAAATGCTGCTTTTATCAAAGCATAGCTAAGCATATTTACACCTGAATTGATTGAAGCTTTTTATTTTCTCTGATTTGCCTTAGCAGTATATAAGCCAAATTTTAGATTGGAGTCTTTGTTGATTCTGTTCCCAGTGTATTGACTTCTATCTTACTATATTTCTCCTGGTCTGAGCAAAATATTACAAATTAGCCAGCCTATAGTAACACATTTTTACATACTGAAGGTGACCAGCATAGATTGTGAGGATGGTACATTTAATGACAGCATATGAATTTTATACAACTATCACTGCACACATCAAGTATCACTCTGAGACTGTTGAACTGCAAACGGGCTTAAAAAGTGTAAGCTCACATGCTGTGAGCTCCAGCATGTCTCTTACAATACAAGAAATCTTAGGAACAGACAAAATGCCAAAATCCGTGCCAAAATGCCTCCACTTTTTTTTTTAGAATCATCAGTGGCTATCATACTCCCAAGTTCAAAAGTATGACAGTACAAAGATACAATGGTTGGCAGCATCTGATAGAACAACTGCGTACATCAATTCAATCTTCTTCATGGCTTATAAAATAATATGCGCTGTACTACATAAATATTATTTTAGTTCTAACACAAACATGAAAAGAGCCTTCACAAAGATTTACAGGTTAATACAGGGTACTGCACTTACCAAGATGTGTGTTCATCATCTTCGCACAATATTTGCACATGGCTTCCAAGTCGTTTAGTTGTCCTTGTAGGAATGAAATCTGGGCCTCTAATTCCTCCTCCTACAATTAAGAGATTATGAGCATTAAAATCCCCCAACTTTCAATAATACACAGTAAAAGTGGTAAGCTAACCCTTGACATGCTTAGACATCTTCTAATTTTTCCTATTCCTTTGTCCTTGAGAAAATTTTTGAAATAAAGAGAATCACCTTCCAACTGTATTTATTAAAAGAATTTTAAATTCTTTTGTCATTTCATGGAAATAGGGGTTGGTTTTAATGTTTCAGTGTTTATTAATACTACTCTTATTCCTTCTGAAGGGTCAAATAAAAACCTGTCTACATTGATCCAAGAAAGGTTAACAATTCGTATTTCTTTTACAGATTAGCTACCTGGTTTTGCTTGTGCAAACACAGTACCACAGCAATGGCTGAAAAAACTCACCAAATGAGGAAAATTCTCATTTCTGGCAGAGTAATTTCCACAGCAATTCCTTTGGAACCTCAGAAAAATTCCTTTTTTTTATTTCAAGGCATGTATTTCATGAGACGTAATACCAGATCTCAAGGATGCATTACTGCCATATATTTTGGCATATTTCTTTGTGTAACACATCATGCTCTATCTGTATAAAAACCCTGCACTTCTATGCTCAGCCAACTGCACTTCCACACAACGTCTTACATAATATTTAAGTGAAAACTATTTTCAACTCACACACTATAAAGCAGTTACTTTAAATTATCAAGTTATGTTTAATAAATATACATCAAGTGTAATTTTAAAAAATAATTTAAAAAAAGATTTTTGATTTTAAGGCCTAGGAGAAGCATTATTATCTAGCCACATGCCCTGTCTAAGCAATGGGAACTACCTCAGCTAAGAATTTCTCTTTGAACTCCTTTCTTTGCCAGTTTACAAATGCATCCAGTCTTGCCTTTAAAGACCATACTGCAGAGAAAGTTCACCACTCCTTTGGAAAAATTCCTTCAAAGCTTAGTCACGAACAGTATTGAGCAGTTTTTTGTTTGTTTAAGTATGCAATTGAATTCAAGATATTCAGGTAAAGGCAAAGTAACTTTTTAGCCTCCTGTTTTTCTTAGGAGTTTTACAGTTCTATCATACTCGTTTGATGGAGACTGTTGAACATTAGAGTGTGAATTACATTTCAAACGAAAAAAATCCAAAACTGATCGGCAAGAATAAAGAGAATGAATCAATCTTGATTTAAAAGTACAAGTGATCTTAATCTCCGTCAGAAACTGAGTCAGAGCCAAGCAAAGGAAACTTTGCACTAATACAGCATATATCCAAAAGCAATTGATAAATAAAAAGAAATTTAACAGCAGCACTTTGCAAGATCTAGCAATATCACCTTTTCTC